AGGGCATCAGTGTGGGAAATGTATAGGGGGATATTGCTAGAAGTCATCCCAAATAATGTACAATCCCATGGAACTTGGAATGACTGCATATACAATTGTGGGGAAAGAGACAAGAGATCAAAAATTGGATTTGGAGAAGTCTCCACAACTGGTGTCTTCTCCTTAGATCCAGAAGGAGTGGTAATAGCTTTACCCAAGTCTTTTGGCTGCTGAACATCCTACATATTTTATAAAATATAATCATAAACAATAAATCAATTTATTTATGTGTTAAATGTATTATAATCATACATATACATACCTTTGCCATGATTGACCTAACTAAATGTCGGGGCCAAGTAATGAAGGTCCGAAGGGCTTGGCCCACTGTCCGCACCTCTTCGGTGGGGATAGGGACAATAGCCTCAGCGTCAACCACCTTTTCAACCACTACTTTGACCAAGTTAGGATCCAAAGGCACATTGTGGATGGTTGAAGCCCCTTCATGAACTGATTCATGGGCCACTAGTCTTAGACCTTCATCTACCTCAACCCACAAGCCATATCGATCATCCTTTGTGGATTCAGGATGAATAGATGCCACCTCAGGTGTGACCTCGATAGTGGCTTCAGCACAACTGCCCTTTGTGCTAACTCTTGGACCTACAAATACAGTAAATTCCAATAAGGACTAAGATTTTAGAAACACAAGTCAAGTACCAATTTGTGGTTGAAAATGTTAAGTCTTCTATCAAAGGACTCAAATACACATCTATGTCATTTCCTGGCTGTCTTGGACCTGAAATCATCATACACAACATGACATATTTGCGCTTCATGCATAACCATGGTGGAAGATTGTAAATCATCAATAAAACGGGCCATGAACTATGGTTACTACTTAAATTTCCAAAAGGATTCATCCCATCTGTTGCTAATCCAAGTCTAAGGTTTCTTGCATCACTACCAAAACTTGGAAATAGAAGGTCAAAATTCTTCCATTGGGGAGAGTCAGATGGATGTCGCATTTGCCCATCACATGTTTTTCTCTTTGAATGCCAAATTAAATTTTCAGCATCTTCGTGAGCGTACAACCGCCTAAATCTTGGAATTATTGGAAGATACCATAAAACTTTTGCAGGAGGACGTTTTTTACCACTCTCCTGACTACAATCATCACCATCCTTCGCTTTGTAACGTGATACACCACATGTTGGACATTGGTCTAAAGATGAGAATTCTTTCCTGTATAACACACAATCATTAGGGCAAGCATGTATCTTCCTATATTCTAAACCCATCGAAAAAAGTATCTTCTTCGCTTCATACATACGGTCCGGCAAGGTGTTATTGTCTGGGAGCATCTTCTTCAAAAGTTGGAGTAATTCATTAAAACTTGTATCACTCCAACCAAATTTTGCTTTTAGATTGACCAATCTTAACACAGATGACAACCGTGTGAAAGTTGTACATCCGGGATACAAAGGTGTCTCTGAATCGGTCCTCAATGTATCATATACAGATGCATGTGCTTCAAGAAAGCTCTCTTGACCCACATCACAAAGCATGTCCTCTATTCGATCTTCGCAGGTTACATCATCCTCAATAGTTTGTGATACTGTTAGAATATCAACCACTTCACCGTGCCATGTCCATATGGTGTAATTCTTCATCATCCCATCGCAAATAAGATGTTCCCGCGTTGTGTCCATCTCTTGTACTCTGCCATTTACACAATTAACGCATGGGCAATAGATTTTTCCATTCATTTTGGGAGCATTTTTTTCAGCAAATTTCAAAAAGGAGTCAACTCCATTCTCATACTCTTCCGACATGCGACTTGCATTGACCCAAGTTCGATCCATCTAACTACACAAAAGGGCTTGCCTAGATATTCAAGGTTTATTAGAAAAGGTTTAGCAAAACAATACAAAAAAAAACGTCTACATCTGATTTCCCACGTAAAGAATGGGAAAATAAAACGTGTACATCTACATTAGTATATACCAGTTCGAAACCGAAAACAAACTTCCAAAGCCTAAAGGAACCTAGATCAAATCAAACCATACAAAATCATCCATCATCTTTCCAATGTTCATATGCAGGAAATGCTCTAAATAATCTATATTTATGTTAAATGCATGTTGTAAATCATCCATACAACTTAATCAGCTTAATCTAACCTGATGAGAAGGGGTTTCCTTAGGGAAATGAGGGGTACCACACACACGGCAACAACGGCGGTGCAAAGCCGTGTAAGAGCGCGGCGAGGGGGCGGCGAGGGGGCGGCGTTACCACGTCAAACAATGAACGACGAAGAAGGAGAGAACTGAGGTAGCAGCGCACGTCATTGAGGACTGAGGTAGCAGATGACGAAGAAGAAGCAGAGGAACTGAGACCAGAGCACGAAGAAGAAGCAGAAGAACAACTGCGCGCTCTGGAGGCTAGGTATGTTAGGACATTCGACGTCGGTTATTAAAAAACCCGACGTGGATAATGCTTTCGACGTCGGGTAAATCATGGAACCGACGTTGATTTTGGGATTTCAACGTCGGTTATACATAACCGACGTTAAATTTAAACATTTAACGTCGTCTGTTATCTAACCGACGTTATTTGTCCATTACTACGGCGGTTTTGTTATAACCGACGTTAAATATTGTTTCTTAATTACAGGTTTGCCACCGCGTCTTGTACAACGTCGGTCTTCATAAAAACCGACGTTGGATGCTGTCGTAGTAAGTGTTTTCTGTAGTAGTGAGTGAAAAAAAAAAAGAGAGAATTAAAATAAACATTAAAATAAAAAAACAAAATGACCTAAGTAAATAAATTGAATAAGATATATAAAAACAATTCATTTTACAACTATTATTGTGTGTTACATTGTTAAATAGTAAAATTTATTTTATAACCCAGTAACATATTATAAATAACACTATTCTCATTAATTAACATATGATTCAAAGATAATGTCAAAATATTAAAATACCACTCTAAATATACATGAACTAAAATTTATAAAAGAAATAATATTTTAACAGTATTTTTGTTAAAAACATCTTCTCTATCATTAAATACATTAATATAATAATATTACTTATGATATTATTATTTATATATGGTTGTCAAGTAAAGTATATTTGCCAACTATCAACCCTCAAAACCTAGTTTACTTATTGGAGCATGCCATCATTTGACAAATTTAGCATCATCCTTTGTCTCTTTCTCCGATATGATGCAACAACATGTTTGTGCAGCTTAGAAAGAACAATATATTACAAAAGGAGTGGTTGCTGATGGGACAATAAAGAAAACAAAGGAAAAGAAAAATAAAAGAGCTCAAGTAAAATGGTGACGTTTTAGGAGGGTGTTGCCGATTCAGCTAACACTTAATTGAGTGAATTAACTGTATTAACAAGTAGGATCCATACAGAATCTTTTTTCTATATTACAAAATGGAAATATAAGAAGAGAGTAAAGTGATAATAAACTTAAAGGAGTGAAGTGAATAAAAAAGATGATAGGATAAAAACTACCTAAATTTACAGGATGAAAATAAGAAATTAATATTTTCTAGTATTTAATCTTGTAAGTGTAATAAGATATATTAGTTGGTATTTGGTACTACCTGTCATATATTTTAAATAGTTTTATTTATTTATTATAATACTTTTTAAAACTATAAAATGTATTTATGATTTTATTTAAGAGTTTAAAATTTTTATTTTGGTTCCTAGCCACGACAATATATAGTAACCTATATTTAGGAATTAAGTGAAAAAAAAGTTTTAAAATTTAAATGAAGTCTTGAAAAAAATAAATTTATTTAGATATTTATAGTTTTAGGGATTAACATTCCTAAGATACATAAACACAAACTCAGATTTAACAACAAAAACAAATTAAAATTAAAATTTAATTTAAACCTAGTAACGATTATTTTTTTTTAATATTTATCGGTGCATGACTAATCGATATTTCTCCGCAGTTTTAGAAGACTTGAACCAGAATAAAAGATTCAAAATCCATCAAACATTAAGCTTCATTTAATTAACCTTTTACTATTGCATTCGTGTTCATGTCTTATAGAACGGATCCTATTCTCGATTCAAGAGAAGACCATTGTCTGTATTATTTTTCCCAATATTTACGAATATTTTCTTTATATGTTTAATATTCATTTAATTTCTTTTTAACAATTTGTGTTAAAGTAAAATGTTAACCATACTTTATACTATATAGGTCTTAGGACACCGTAGTTTAGGACGCGAATCGGAAAAACCGGAAACAGTCCAATGACACTTCAGTCCTCTTCTAGTTAAGTGTGAGAGCAATCTCATCGTCCTTCCTATAAGCTAATCACACAATTTTATAATAAGTTTCCATTAACAATAAAAAATGTTAAGGAAAAATGGCTCTAGAGAGTGTATTATTCACATTTCACTTTTGAGTCTTCTTAATGATTTATTTAGAGAAATAAAATAAATAAATTATTGAACATCCAACACCTAATTGTACTATAAAATGAATATAAATATTATTTTATAAATAAATTTTTAGGATTAATTCAGGTTAAATTTATTTATTGAAGTGTACGAATTAGACTCAAATTCATTTTTATTTAAATAGAAAATCTATTTTATTAGGAAAAGAAAAGGTGGAATTAAGCACGTGATCGATGAAGGTAGAGAGAGAAGCCACGGGTGGGGCGTGAAGTGGAAGAAGATGAAAGGGTCCAACTTGTTTTAAGGACTTTGCAACGTTTAAATTCAAGCCCCCAGTTTCTAGCGATTGTTTGGTCCCACATCTTTTTCTTTTTACCCTTTTTACTTTCTTCCACATCTATGGTCCATATTTGCCTATTGGTTTTGACTTTTCCATTTCTTTATTTATTGATCTCCAAAAAAATGCTTTATAAACCTTCACACTTGTTGCCTTTGCACTTGTCCTCTCTGCTTTCCAAACAACACACACAACAAAGCCTTCTTCTTTTCTGATCTCACAAGCCCCTAAAAGCCACCATGTCTTGCTTCAAGAGCAAATACCAAGGTTAATAGTGTTCACTATGTTGTGCGTGTGTGTGTGTTTCTTTTTCTATACCCTTCTTCGTTAGACTCTATATTGTTGTTTCGTTACTACTTATATGATTTGGGTTCATAGTTTTTTTATCCTTTCTATTTTCACTAGGAAATGTTTTTCTTTCAGATCCTATGTTGTTGTTCGTTAGGTTGTGGTGGACCATATGGGTGTTGGATTTCTACGTAAAATTTTGATTTTAATCTGATGATCCAGCATGGAAGAATATATGATCTAGAATTCTGTTTTAAGAATATTTGAATGAAAACTTTGAAATTTTGTTCAAAATTATGTTTTGATAGGTGTTCTAGATTTAAATTTTGTTCATACGTTAAAAAGTCGAATGACATTCATGTCATTGAATACTGTGTAAATATGAATGAACAAAATCACCTTTCTAGGTACCAAAGAAGAAAAATGATAGCCTTCTTTTATTTAAGCAAGATTCTGTATTTATGTTCGATTGAGATAACCAACAATATGTAATATGACTCAGATCTGTGTTGCTATGTAGCCAAGAGTCAAAAACCTGTTAAGATGCACCAACATGCAAGTTGAAAATATATTATATATTACAAATCAAATAGAGGTTAAAACTGAAAAATAAATCAGTTCAATTGATTTCTTTATGTTTGAAGTGTCTTATGGAGCTCAATGGAAACTATAATAACATATAATTTGGATCATAAAATATTTTCTATCTATCATATAGTATGTTTCTAAAGAATTATGATTTGGCATGAAATGCAGATGAGCTGATTGCGAATGCTGCATACATTGGGACCCCTGGAAAGGGTATCCTTGCAGCTGATGAGTCAACCGGCACCATTGGAAAGCGTCTAGCGAGCATCAATGTGGAGAATGTGGAAACAAACAGACGCATTCTTCGTGAGCTCCTATTCACCGCCCCTGGTTGTGTTGAATGCCTCAGTGGTGTCATCCTGTTTGAGGAAACCCTCTACCAAAAGACAGCTGCAGGTATTGCTCATACCATTAATTTTTGTTCTCTTACAAGTACGTGAAGTGAAGCTAATTGATGAATTTTTCTTCTTGTGTCACAGGAGTACCCTTCGTGGACGTATTGAAGAAAGGAGGAGTACTTCCTGGCATAAAGGTGGACAAGGGCACGGTGGAGCTAGCCGGAACAAACGGCGAAACCACCACCCAAGGTTTAGACGATCTCGGCCAGCGCTGCAAGAAGTACTATGAGGCGGGCGCGAGGTTCGCAAAGTGGCGGGCAGTTCTCAAGATAGGACCAAACGAGCCCTCTCCACTCGCCATCCACGAGAACGCGTACGGGCTGGCCCGTTACGCCGTCATTTGCCAGGAGAACGGCCTGGTTCCGATCGTGGAGCCCGAGATCCTGTCTGACGGGCCGCACGACATCCAGAAGTGCGCGGACGTGACGGAGCGCGTGCTGGCAGCGTGCTACAAGGCGCTGAACGACCACCACGCGTTGCTCGAGGGGACGCTGCTGAAGCCGAACATGGTGACACCGGGGTCGGAGAGCGCGCGCGTGGCGGCGGCGGTCATCGCAGAGCACACGGTGAGGGCGCTGTTGCGGACCGTTCCGCCGGCGGTTCCGGCTATCGTGTTCCTGTCGGGGGGGCAGAGCGAGGAGGAGGCGACGGTGAACCTGAACGCGATGAACCAGCTGAAGGGGAAGAAGCCATGGTCGTTGACTTTCTCGTACGGAAGGGCCCTGCAGCAAAGCACGCTGAAAGCGTGGGGTGGCAAGGACGAGAACATTCCCAAGGCACAGGTAGCGTTGCTCGTGAGGTGCAAGGCCAATTCCCAGGCCACGCTTGGGACTTATAAGGGTGATGCCAAGAGCGATGGCGCGTCTGAGTCTCTTCATGTTAAGGATTATAAGTACTGAGAGAGACGCTAAGCTTTTCTTTGTTTCCATGAACTGTTGGATGATGCTGTTTTACAGGGTTTTTTTTATGGAGTCCTGTTTTTTGTTTTTTCCAGTATCGGTTGCTATAGGAGGTAAACCGGTGAAGTAAGAATAATGATGGCTTGGGATGCATTGGCCTCCTCGGCGTTTACTTTTTCACGTTATTTGTAAACTTTTTCTTGTTTTTCAATTCATACACTATTTTCTTTTTTTCTTTTTCTCTTTTTTTTTTTTTTTGTAATAAAAGTCCAAGAGAGATCTACCTATTTTTGTGCATTCTTTCTCTGACCCTTTTACTCTCTGCTGTCTCTGTGTCTCAAAAAATTAAGATGTTAATTTTTGTTTACGCGAAAGATTGACTGATTACTTTAGAATTGTTTGTGTTCGGACGGATGAATCCACTATAATTGCTATCGAGAATTCCTCGCGAGATGCTCAAACGGATAATGTTTCCCACGGCGGGCTACTCCTTCTGTTAAGGGTAAAAAGAAAAGTTCTTCCACCGTTCTCTGAAAAGAATATTAAGTTAATAGTTAATAAGGGAAATCGAAAGGATAAACATCCTCACATAGATTATGGTGAGTTTAGGGTTGTTAGTGGAAAATCGAGAAAAGCGATCGAAAACGAAGGAAAGGAAAGAGAGAACACGTAACTGATAAATCAAGATAGATAAAAAACCATTCGATGTCTAAGCATGTAACACATAACATCGAGAAGTACAATCGAGAATCGAAGAAATGATAGTCAAATGCCTATTGTCGAATAAAAACCTAAGAAACTAGAATGATAAGACGTTAAGGTTGAAAAGGAATCGTAAGCAATTCGAAGTTCTCGAAAGTGTAAAATCGAAAATGAAGAAAGCTAACCTACACGGACATCGAAAACTTTGGCCAAACCATAAAGAGAAGAGTAAGTCAAACGCACGGATAAAGAGCAGTTTCGAAACCATGGAGGAAATCGAAGATTGTGAGAATGTGGGAAACCGTAGAAGATAAACCGCCATATGCACGTAGAACGTGGTAGCAGTCATGTTAACTGCTCTTGGAAGACTTGAACGATGCACTATAAATAGAGCAAAGAAGGAAGAAATAGGGGAGCAGAAATTGGCAGAGAACAGAATCAGTAGTGAAAAGTCTACCGGAGAAACGACGAACACCATGAAGCTTCTGGCAATTTGGATTTCCTTGCTCACTGAGTACATTTACCACTTTCTGTATTTTCCTTGGTAATTTACTTTGATGCAACTTAAATTCAGCAGTTTTATGTTTCTGTATTTTCGATTCCTTGTCATTTCAATTCAATGAAAGTTTAAATTTCTGCATTTAAGTTTCCCTGTCATTTACTTTTCTTGTAATCTTGATTTCCTGTCATTTACTTTTCTTGCAATCTCGATTTCCTGTCATTTACTTTTCTTACAATCTCGGTTTCATGTCATTTATATTTGCACTGTTTTCGATTTCTTGTCATTTACAATTAATGTAAATTTGGGGTTTTCTCACTTTACATTTCCTCGCAATTTAATATTCCGTTTCTCGATTCGATATTTTTACTCGTGTTCGGTATTTTAAATATAAAAAATAGCATTTTCGATATCCCGTAACTTTCGATTCTTATACACGTTTTCGATTGAAAGTCAAATTGCTAGCCTAAGTAAAAAGAACTTACGTGGGAGGATTTTGATTAGGACCAAAACACCTTTAGAATCGAAATCAATCGAAATTCCACCAGAAACAAATTGGCGCGCCAGGTAGGGGTTCTTGTGTTGAGAAACACAAAATTGGTTAGTTCGAGAGTGTATGAGATTAAGGAGTGGGAGAGTCATGAGTCGAGTTCATCAAGTAACCGGAGTAACACCGAGGGATTAAATGGGTCACACCCATCAAATACTGGGGGCAAAGTCATAATGGGAATACACTCGTAGTATCGACAACTATAAGTATGTCGATACCCGTGAGTAATGAACAAAATTCAGGCACTTTAGCAAATACCCAAGTAGGATCTAGTACGGTGGCACTAAACAGTATGCCAACTATGGGAAACCCTATAACAACAAATGCTGGGCCGTATATGAGTATAAGACCACCTAGGTTTTCGCTTAACATGAATGGGGTTAGTACTTCTTCGATGCAACGAAATTCGAGATATAACTTAGGAACATTCCAAACCCTAGGTATGCCACAGAATTTTGGAGCATCTCCAAACCTAGGAACATCTCAAAATTTAGTAATTCCCGTAACTCGTGGAGTGTGCAGAATGTAGGAACGCAAAGCAAATACCTCCAAATCTAGATCATAGAGGAAACTTAGATCATGGGAGATATGCGTTCGATAGGGATTATCATCGATCTAATTTTGATACTATCGAAAATACTGGTACTGGAATATCTAGTAACTCCTTAGGAATACTTAGACAACAAATGGATGAGAGTAATTTTGAGATGGTGAATATGTTATCACAACAGTTGACTACAGTTCTAAATCCATTAGTTCAAAACACTACCGCTAGTTTTGAGATATTAGCAGACCAAATGTCACGAATCGGGGATGCATTGGCTGTACCTCGACAAACGAGGGTAGAAAATCATGCTAATCAGAATACTAATATCAATCCCCCGTATCTATTGAGGAGAAATAGAAACAATGATCAACATCAGCATATGGGAAATGAGTATCAACACGTGAGGAATGACATTTATGGGAATTTGAACGAAGGATTTCAAAATATACACAATCAGAATAACATGTTAGGACAAAGGATGAATTTACAAGGGATGGAATTTAGACCACCCAATCAGACATATTTTGTGTCTCCCTTTCCGAATGCGATTCTCGAGACAGAATTGCCTCGAGGATATAAAGTACCCAAATTCACTAAATTTGCTGGAGAAGTTGGTGAATCGACTATCGAGCATGTGGCTCGATATCAGATCGAATGCGGGGATTTAGCGATGAGTGAAGAATTAAAGATGAAATATTTTCCTAGTTCTTTGACTAAGAATGCTTTTACTTGGTTCACTTCGTTACCGCCCAATTCGATATATAATTGGTTGCAGTTAGAGAGAAATTTTCATGAACAATTCTTTAGAGGAGAGACTCAAGTAAGTCTCATCGATTTGATGAACATAAAACGATACAACCATGAAAGTATAGATGATTATCTCGAATCGATTTAGACAAATGAAGTCGAGATGTTTTACTCAAATTCCCGAATATGAATTAGTCGGATGGCTTCTGCAGTTTAGAATTCTCGATTAGGAAAAAATTAGTCAATCTACCATCGAATGACATGGCTCAATTAGTCGATAAAGTGAGAAGAGTGGAACAAATAGAGTATGAGAAACAAAGGTATAAGAAATATGAGAAACCCTCGAAAAAGGAAAGGATAGCATATGTAAATGACGTATATGAGACTGGATAACATGACGAGAAAATGATATTGAAAAAACTGTCGATGAGAAAGTAAACATAGCAGTAACTCAAAGTAGGGGCTCCATATATTTGCAAATTGCTACAAAAGAATGAAGTAAAAGATAAAATGGCAAATCGAACATATACTTTCGATGTGACAAAGGCCGATAAAATTTTCGATATCTTACTAAAAGATAAACAAATTAAGTTGAGAGAAAATCATAAATTGCCTTCGGCGTAACAAAGGAATGGTCGAAAGTATTGTAAATTTCATAATGTTTTTGGACATTGGACTAACAATTGTATACATTTCGTGAATACGATACAAGATGCGATTGACCAAGGGAGACTGAAATTTGAAGAGATGTCGATGAAAGTGGACACGAGTCCATTCGAAGTGCAAGTGGGATATATTGAATCCCAAACGGGCATGACCGATGATGTCCGAGTGATGAATGTCGCTTTTGTAGGCATGGTCGATGTTATCGAAGACATTGACCCTAAACATGTCGGAATGGATGTATCTCGAAGAGGATATGGAATTTGACCTGAGTGAATTTGAAAAGGAGTTCGAAAAAGAGATTTACCCTCGGTCGAGAGACTCCCTCATTGAGTTTTTGAATAGGAAGAAAGAAAAAGACGAAGATGTGTCATTATGCCCACGATGCAGTGCGGTGTTCGATAAATCGGCTGCCAAAGCTTTCAAGTTAGAACAGATGAAGAAGGTCGAGAACCAAAATAAAAGGAAAAATGACAAAGTAGATCAAACGGTCCGACCAACAATCGAAGAAAGTCAGCAGAAATCTGTTGGTTCTGGTGTTAGCGGAAATCAAAGGCAATGGGTTAGAAGAGAGATGTATCCTTCTCGAGGAGGAAGAGGCAGACTTCAGAGCAATGACGTCTTCGAGAGATTGTCATACGATGAAGGATCGAACACTGGATTCCCAACATTCCAAAGGAGATTCCGAGGCAGACCCTGGAGAAGAGGAGGAAGGATCCCTTATTGGAATAATTATAGAAATTTCGAAGAGAATATTGTACCGATGGATAGTCAATATGCAAGAGAATATTTCGATGATAAGAATGAGGGTACTTGGGACGAGCATCAAATCGGAGTGATATCGATACTACCGGCAGAATATGTTAGTGAATATCAAGAGTACCAAGAACAGAGTGATGCCGATCGAGAGGACGACTTCTACTCAGAAAACATAAAGCCAAAGGTAACATGGGTTACACAAACCTCATGTGAAGTACCTCATAGAGATGCTGCTTTTATTGACCCTCCGTCTCGAGGAAATGAGGTTCCACTTGAAACCATTATTACCGAATATCGAGATTCAAGGACAGATGGTGAATAGAGTCTTTGTCGATGGTGGAGCAAAGAAGTGAACATACCGCCAATTACTATGCTAAAGAAATTTGGCATTGAGCTAAAAGACTTAGTTAAGCACAATATTATGATTTCCGATTTTAGCGGAAAGACATCAAGTTCGAAGGTATGATTGCCTTAGACGTAAAAGTAGGCACTTACTCGAGGCCTACTCGTGTTTGTTGTAGTCCAGCCGCATG